ATTATATTCTATTATGTTCCTTGTCGCATTATCTTTCAAGTGGCTGTTTAGTTAATAAAAAGTCAAATGTGTTATTATTTCAGTGAATTTTGCTCGGATTGTACCAAATGGACTTTTGCTGTTTTTCCCGTCATACCCTGTGATGAACAAGTGTCTGGAGTACTGGCAGGTTGGTTGCCTTGTGTAATATTTTTACACTTTAACATCTTTCCACATCCCAACAACTACATCATAAGAATGAAGAAAATAAACATTTGCAATGCATGTAGGCATTTGTGCTGGACAAATTTTATGAGGAAAAGTTGATCAGAGACAAATGCTGTGGACTGGACACATATTTGGATATATTGAACCTGTGCATTTAGCATCATTTATTCTAGTGATTCTTTGTTTTAAAGTTTTTTTGCTGTGATGAAATGATAACAATTTTGTTTATTATTTTTTTAATGTTATATAAATTAAAATTAATATTTTAAGTTAATTTTTAATGTATTTTTTCACTTTTAGGCAAACAGAATTTGGGATAGAATAGTGCAATACAAACAGATATTTGTGGAGCCAAGAGGAAAAATAGAATTTCATCAGGTAGATTAGTGTTCAGTAAGAAAACAAATGTTTTGATTAAGTTAAAAGTGGAACCTGTTTTTCTTCATCCATTTACTGAACATTTTACTTATTTGTTATCTTATTATTGTAATTAGTATTTTTATTAAACTTGCTCTTAATTATTAATTATATTAATAAATTTGAATTATTTCGAGTGCAGAAATTGATATATATGTCTGTGTTATTTCCTAATTTTATGTGTATTCCTTTTTGTACCTGCAGACAATGGAAGAGTTTTATGAGAAGATCAATGATCCCAAGCTCAATGGTGCTGTGTTTGCTGCTGTTTGTAGAGGAAAGGTGGGATTTCATTTACTCAAAACATAATAGTGTGTACACCCAGAAAATTATTTATATTCATTTTATATAAATAACCTGCTTATCACTGAATGGAAGCCTTTCTGCCAAATGTGGTTGTTGAGATAACACATTTGGTTCGTCTCACCCAGGTCAGTGAAGGACTGGATTTTGCTGATATCAATGGCAGGGCAGTGGTGATCACAGGGCTGCCCTATCCACCATATATGGATGCTAAAGTGGTGCTGAAGATGAAGTTCCTGGATGAGATGCAAGGAAAACAACAGATTAAGGTACTAATAGTAAAATTCTGGTTTACAGCACTTGGTAGGTTGTCGAGAAAGAAGGAGATATAAATTTCATCAGTATATGGGGATATGTTTCATGATAATTATCTACAAATCCTTGCAGGTAATTTAGGGTGTAGAGATTTTTAACAAAATTTGATTGATAATCTCAAAACAGTAGCATCCATGTTCTCTTTACTGTGAAAGAATGTAAAAATAAAATGGTGATATTTAAGAGCAGAGATAAATAGAAGGATATAAGAGTTATTTATACCGTACAAATTAAGAATTTAAAGGTAAGATGTTTTACGTTTCTTCCAGACAGTATTATGTGCAAGGTTTTATTATTATTTACTTGGAATTTGTTCTCTAAGGGCTTGACTGGAAGAGAATGGTACAAACAACAGGCATCCCGTGCAGTAAATCAAGCCATTGGCAGAGTGATCAGACACAAACAGGACTATGGTGCTATTCTGCTCTGTGATAACAGGTAATTCTGTTGTATGAATTTATCAAAAGAAAAAAATAATATTGTTTCCTTTTTAGTCTGGCAAATATGTATAACATTTTTTTTTTATTTCAAAAAATTGATTTTTTTTTCTTTCCAGATTCAAATCTCCTGCAGCTATATCTCAACTCCCATCTTGGGTGCGTTCACACACTAAAGTGTATGAAAACTTTGGTCAGGCCATGAAAGATGCCATGTTCTTCTTCAAGAATGCAGAAAAAATGGTAAACCACTGTGTGGATGGTCAGTGGCACATAAAAGACACTGAAAGCAACATCTGTCTTTACTCCACATAAAATGGAGGACATATTGTCTTCAATAGTTTTGATATTCTATCAGCCCTGGTAAAAATAAGTCAGTTTGATTTTCCGCAACATTTCCTGGTGAGAGTTAGTCTCTTAACTTTAAATTCTATTTTATTGCTATTTTAGATGCCAGCGCCTAGATTAAAGACAAGGAAAGCAGAATCCAGCCAACTGGGTTGCCAAGGAGCCTCCTTCATGCCTAGCAACAGAAGTATTGGTTCCAAGCAGCAAGTGTCCCAGGCCAGCAGTGTGGTAGCACATGTGCCTGGATTAAAGGAGAAAGGTAAGGATGAAGAGGAATTAGTTTTGGTGCTTCATGCATGTTCAAAGCCTTCTGCCCAAATGTAAAAAGACTTGCTTGACATCAAAATAATATGATCTGTCACGTGTCCTAAGAAGTTAATGATTGAGTTGTTTTTTGTTTGAAAAATGGAATAAGAAGATAAAATTTGTTATGAATACTTCAGATAAACTATTGGTTTATACTTGTTATGTGCTTTTCTGTGTTTTTGTTTTCAGAAGATGAATCTTCTCTTGCTAAATTGAAAATCCAATATGAATGCAGTGAGTCCAGCACTTCCTCCAGACGACCATCAGCAAGTGGGGGTTTGTTGGGGGCTCTTAGCATGGAAGAGGTACATTTTTCTTAAGCAACTAATATTGTTTATATTTGATATTTACTTTAATTCACATATATTTTGGTATTGGATGCCTGTATTATTTATCATGCATTATGTGGCAAGCATAACTCATTGCTTTTATTACTTTCAGAGAAAAGTTGATGATGAAGGCTTTGATTTGTCACAAAACAGTATTTCCATGGATAAGATGCAGGATAAAGTCACCAGCTCGAAAGTACAAAGAAAGAAAATTATTTTGAAGGTATATTACAGGAAACTGTGCTATATTTTCATGTAGATTAGCTTTATATTGTACTACTTTACACAAGCACCTGCTACATTTTAACTTGTTATGTTTTGACAATGCACTACACACGCATGCACATGCACCTGTGGCATGTATTGTAATGCATCTTACATTTTTTCAGGACCGACCAAAATTTGATGGTGGTCTGTCCTCAGAATGTGAATTAACTAAAGATGAAAAGAAAAATCTGCCAGCTGCTAAGGTTTATTTAATGCAAGTAAGTTGTGGGAAAGTATGGATCAAATTAAAAGAAGGGCTTATATTTTCATAGTGCCACAGATATCTTTAAGACTACCTGCTGTTTCTATGTTGGAATGTAATTTAAGGTAGAATTGATCATTCAGTTAAAAATTAAATTTAATATAAGAATTATTAAGATATGTACTCATTTTTGGCAACAATTGTATGTCAGAAGAAATTTTATTATGATGATTGTTATTATTTTTATTTTTGACAATTTTCCCAGAGACTAATTGAAATATAAAATTTATTTCAAAAACAGGGTTTTGTGGCTTTTTCATTGAAGTGATAATGACTTTTTGTTGGCTCATTGTACAATAATCAAATATGCATATGCTCATGGTGGCTGAATGAATTCTGTTCATGTTGCAGGTAAAACAAGCACTTAGTCAAGCTTCATACAAGTTGTTTTCTTCAACCCTGTTCAAGTATCAGAAAGATGGGAATTTTACCTCCATGATTGCAAACATGGCAGAAATATTCACTGATGAACCCAAAAATCATGAACTATTGCGGAGTAAGTCGGCACCCAGCAATTTTCTACTGACATTATGTTTCTGTTGTTGGACAGCTGGAGTACATCAATCAAAATGCTGTATTCAGTTAAGGATAGTGGTCTGAAATACATTATATATAATATACACCAAATGGTGGTGGATTTTGTCTTTTTCTGTAGCTCTAATGCCAGATAAACCTCTTCTCAGCAGAGGATTACTGAACGTTGCATAAGTCCTGGTGTCTTTGAAATCAGGACAGTAATATTGATATCCTCAGATTGAATCTGCTGCAGAAGTTCTCAGCTATAGCGCAACTGCTGCTCAATATTTCAGATTGTAAATTTACCTTTTGCATGGATTATAAAGCAGGCAGTTGCAATTTTGTTTACTTTGTTAGTTATGTTTGATTTGTTAGGCTAGAATGTCATTCAATATGCAGTCATTGTTGTAGGGTTATATCGCTTTGTCCGAAGTGATGACAAATACCAGTTTGACCAGGTGTGTCGGGACCTGACTGGACAGGGGTGCCTCAGCCACCCTGAGACTGGTCCAAGAAAAAGAGTGCAGGACCAATTTGGTAATGACAATATGGATATTTCCACAGTGCATTTGTACTGATTTATTGATGCACACTCTCACAGTAAACAGCAGGGTCTATTTGAGTAAAATATTTGAGTAAAATGATATTTGAGTGTCCCTGAAATAAGGTTTTGAATAAAGACCATTTAAGATGTTTTAATAATGTTATTTCCTTTTTTTCTAATTTTAGAAAGCAATGCTGATAAACGTAGAAAATTAGGGGATGGTTCTTCAAAGGGTCCTGTTCTGGACACTGTAAGTTTTGTTTATGGGGTATTTTTATGATGAAATATTTAGAATAATAAAAAACAACTTATTTTTAGAATTTATTTTTCCAACTTTCAGTTAGATTGTGGTCATTGTTGGTGGCTATAATTGTAAATTATATTGATTATGCTTTTTTTTAGAAGTCCACAAGTAAAACTGGGACTGCATCTGAAGGGAATCTACATCACCTGAACTCTACATCAAATTTAAGTGTGAAAGCCTTGACAGCTGTAAAGGACATAAACTCCTCAAAATTAACAACAGTAAAGACTTCAGTCGATAAAGAAACAGATTTATTGAATGGCTGTGTAAAAACTAACCTGGCAGATTCTAAATCAGAGGAAAATGTGAATGTTTTAGCAAGCAACCAAGGTGAAAGAAGTAAACACTATGAAAATGAAGAACAAGATAAAAATGAACAAAAAGAGCTTTGTCCAAAGATTTCTCAGGAAGAGTTGGATCGAGTGAAAAGCTTAACATCCTATGATCCTCCTCCTAATTCAGGTGTGAAAATAACATTTTCCATAAGGTTATAAAAGGTTACTCATACGCATGCAGGAAAAAAGTTAAAATACAGATGGTATGCTCTTTGTAAACTGTTAAGCTAAATGCTTACTCGAATAGTGTGTTTGAATAAATAATTATTATTAGATTATAAGATGTTATAATAGCAGTGTTTTTTTTGTTTTTTTTTTTTTTTTCATTTAATAAAACCTTTTTATATTCTTAATCAGGGTACTTATGTGCAGTGTGCAAAAAGGAGAGTAAGATACCACTGAAGTCCCCATGTGATCACTATGCTTGCTTCAAATGTTGGAAAATGACATTACAGGTAATGTTCTGTGTGTGTGTGTGTGTGTAATTCAAGTATCTGATATTGCTGTTTTTGATATGAGTTTGAGCTTTTTTCCAAGTTGTCCACTTGCATTTACTGGGTTCTATCTACCCAAATTTTTTTAATAAAAAGGATGTTTGAATACTGTTTGGCAATGAAATGAGGTTTGTAAAAAATACCTAATCATTGAATTCAGAATGCCACATTGTATCTTTCAGTCAGCCAAGCAATGTCCTGTCTGTGGTCAAGAGGTGAGAAGAAGACAACTGACGAAGTTGTATTTTCCATCTGGACCACTAAGAGGAGAGGAGAACTGACTATGGAATGGTTACAATATGAAGTTTGAATCGATGAACATATTTATTGGAGAATTCAAATTAAGGAAATTACACATTCTCACTGCTTATTTTACAAAAGAAAAAAACATCGACAGTTCATTACCTCGTGACTGTAGAATAAGTATGAATTCACTTTCAAACTCTTTTTTCTTGACTCAAGGTTATTAATAGGTTATTAATTTATTGGATTTTTTTTACAAAAATGATAACTTTATGAGACAGGAGTTTCAAAAAAGAACATCAGCTGTTTCTTCTTTTTGGGGATGTTATAGAACGCTTAGAATTATGAAGAAAATTACATGATGTTCAAAATAAGTATTTAATCATAAAATGTGCTGAGTAGCTTCCACATCATGAGATCCTATTTTTCATACAATATAACTTATTTAGAAAAATGTAAAATACATTTAATCAGACGAGAATTCTTCTGTGACATAATTTATTAGTGATTATCTCTTTTCATGGAGCCTTGTAAAGTAGTATAAGAAGCAAGAAGTCTCAGATACTAGTCTCTTTTTTATTTATTTATTTAATTATTTATTTATTTATTTATTTTTTTTTTTTTACGAATGTTACCCAATTATATTTATTAAAGAAAATGAGAAATAAGATATTTTATGTAAAATGTTGGCATAATAGGTTATGGATGAAGTATGATAAAGAATTTTGTCTTTCTTTTTGTTCATTTCTCATTTTCTTCATTTCTTTCTCCCCACGGGTACTTACTTCCTCGCTGGCGTGCTCTCTGTCCCCTAAATCAGTTGAAACGTTCCTTAAAAGTGATTTTTGTGCCAAATTGAAGACAAAAGGCAACTTTCACTTCATAATCGGCTGAAACATACTTAAAGGGGAATTTCGCGCCAAATTAAATCTTCCTCAAGGAAAAGGATGTTACTTCCATTTGTAATTAAATACTTCTGTCCTAAATAAAGACCTAGACATTTAGACCCCATAGCTTACTGTGCACTTCACAAGGAATATTGACCTCAAGTACTTTTGAGGATTTTTTAAATGTCTAAATGGGGGGGGGGATAAGAAGCTTTCCAAGATCTGTGCACGTAGAAAGTATGACACGTATAGAACACCTTTCTATATTGTATCTAATAAGAAAATTGTTAGATCATTTAACCTATTTTCTAGATTTCGCTTCTCACCAACCCACATTGCCAACGGGACCGTTTTTTCAAATGCTGCACTTATGCAGCA